AACCCCACAACTTTTTTTTTTAACATTCCTACCAGACTTAAAGGGTCTGTGTGATTGACTCAGTGTTCTCTGTACAGCGCTGCGGTATATGTCAGATCTATATAAGGTATAACAATAAAATGATCCTCGTCCTCGCAATGTGTGGCCAGGGACAGGTATGACTGGTCTGTGCATTGTGCAGGGTTGGATTGGTTGTATATACGGTAGAAGGTGAATGACCTCCTTCTATACATTCGTATAGAGCTCCAGCTGTCAATGATGGTGGGCGGGGCCCTCTAGCGGTGCAGTTCCGCCTCTGGCCGCCAGGTGTCGCCCCCGTCACAGACACAGAGAGCGGAGTGCTCCCGGTGACGTCACCTTACTCTGGCAGATCCCGCGAGATGTGGTGCCGCCTGAGAGAGGAGGGGGCGGGGCCAGTGGAGGCCGGAGCCGCAGACTCACACACGGCGCAGCGACCCCCGACACCGAGATCTCCGCCTGAGGGGGGAAACGGGAGAACCCCTCCCCCACACCGTGTACCGAAAGGCCGGAGAGGAGCATCACTGCGACACCGAGCTGGAGAGGAGACACCCCCCCCCCCCCACGGGGACACACCGACATCACCGAGGCCCCTCACAGCTGGAGTCACCTATAGAATCTCGTCCGCCAGGACTGTATACACCTGGGGGTCCACCTATAGAACCCTCACAGCTGGGGTCACCTGGGACTGTATACACCTGGGGGTACCCATAGAACCCCCACCCCTCACAGCTGGGGTCACCCGGGACTGTATACAGCTGGTGTCACCTGGGACTTTATACACCCGAGGGTCACCTATTGATTCTTATCCGCCAGGACCGTATACGTTGCCTGTAGAATCAGCTGCCTGGGGCCGTGTGCATCTGGTGTCACCTATAGAACTGGACCGTATATATATTTGGTGTCACCCATAGAACGGCCGCCACGTTTGGTGACACCTATACAATACCTGCCAGGGCTTTGCACAGCTGGTGTCACCTAATCGTATCCACCGGGACTATACATCTGGTGTCGCCTATACAAGAATACCACCAGGACCCTGGACAGCTTGTGACACCTATAGAATCACGCGCTCCTGGACTGGTGTCACCTAGAGAAGGACCTGACTATAGACGTCTTCCATTGCCGCTACAGCCACCTGTTCTTGGGCTTCATACATCCTGTGGTGCCTATAGAACACCACCACTGGGCCCTCTACATCTCATGTCACCTATAGAACCACGTCACCGGGACTGTCTACTTTTACTGTCAGCCGTGCAACCCCCCCCGGTGCAGACTGCATATGTTGGCTGTCACGTATAGGACCACCGTCCGAAGGACTGTGTACGTACAGCGGTGTCTATAGGATCGCCCGGAACACACCACGTCACCTATACAACCATCTTCAGAACAGAGAGGGCCGCTGTCACCTATAGGGTTGGCTTCATTTGAGAAGTATCACCTGTAGAATCTTCCTGAGCCGGAACCTATACGTATACTGTCCTCTGTAGGGACCCGCCCAGGATTATTGGGGTCTCTGTGTTTTTGGAATCGTCAATCATGTGCTCCCCATACGTCCGCCATCACCGGGAACATACGCGTCACTGCCGTCTATAATCGTACCCTGGGACGTATAGATTTCCCTTCTGCTGTAAACCAATCTATTGATCGGCCTGTGTGCTCATCACCTACAGATCCACCTGCTGGAACGTATAGATTCTCCATGCTGTCACCTGTGTGCTCCGGACCCTTGCCTTCATGGGGGCCCGTCGCCTATAGATCCACCTGCTGGAACGTATAGATCCTCGCCATCACCCGTGTGTTGCACCCCTGGGACGTACACTGACAGATCGCTTGGAATATATTTTGGAGCCTACAGGTCCCTACGGATGTGACGTGCGTTTGCCTGCTGGGACGTATAGCTCTGCCGGGACCTATGAATATCCCCTGCCTGCCTATTGGAACCTATAGGATCCCCCGTCACCTGTAGACACCCCCCCCATGACTTTCTGCCCAATATATTGATCCCCCATCACCTATATATCACCATCTGCTGTATAGACCCCCCTAGTCGTATACGTCCCTCACCTCTCTTAGGTGAAGGTCAGACCTGCACCCCATATCTGTATATTTCCACCTATAGATACTGCCACCGCTATAAGTATATATATATTTGTCCCACCATCTGCACCCCCTCTACATCCCTCCACCATCTGCACCCCCTCTACATCCCTCCACCATCTGCACCCCCTCTACATCCCTCCATCACCTGCACCCCCTCTACATTCCTCCATCACCTGCACCCCCTATACATCCCTCCATCACCTGCACCCCCTCTACATCCATCCTTCCTCTGCTGTCACTCTGCTCTGCATTCAACAGTTGCACAACGCTCTGCCGTCTCCTATAGATTGCAGTGGAGTTGATACTCGGATATCACCGTCTCCTATAGGGGCCCCTCTATACCCCCTCAGATCTATATCCCCCTTCCGTCCCTGATTACCTGTCCTGCCCTTTACCCCGGAGATCCCTGCGCTCGGCTGCAGCATGACGCTCCATCTCTTGGGAATGCCGCCGCCTCCTCCGACTCTCCAGCGGAGCTGAGACCACCTGACCACCGGGTGCAGCAGGAAGACCCACCACGTTCCTCCCTGCGAACTGCAAGACCGGCTCTTATATGAAGGTAAACTTACGTGTGTGTCTATATGTGTCACCCAACTCCCCTCCGCATTTCTATAGGGTTGCATGGTGGCATAGCGTGCCCGTGACCCTAATCTTCAGTTGCCGAGCCGTTATCCATCCCCCGCAACCCATCTGCCACCCGAGGGGCACATTATACCCCCCCACCAGGGCAGAAATTGGTGGGCACAGATCTTGCACTGGGACCCTAATCTTGTATTCCGGAGCCGTCACCCCCCTCCTCTCACTGCCAGCTGAGGGGCATATTATGCCCCCCACCGGGGCAGAAATTGGTGTGAGGGGTGGAGTGACCCCAATCTTCAGCTGCTGAGCCATCGCCCCTCCCTTCCTGCC